AAAACCCTTGGATACTTCCAAAACTTGACTTTTCTATCTTTCTAAAAAATAACCAACACTCTGCTTCCTTCAAAATTCCTACTCCAACAAGCTTGTTCCGCTAGCTTGCCAAAACTGCTGAAGAGGAATTTATAAAAAACAATAATACTGAAACTAATATCAAATGCCAAACATTTTACTTTTACTAATACTTTAAAGCCTTCCTCCACCATACTGCCCAAAATGATGAAATTCTTAACCTCTTCTCTACTCAAGCTACCCAAAAAATTCTATCACAAACTATTAATACACATCATTTAGCTCGAATTCTTACCTACTTTGATATCCTCCAGTATGAGGGCAACATTTCAATTGCTTTAATTCAGAAAAAATACAAAGAAACTTTCTATCCTCAATCTACCCAACTCATTATCCAAAAACTCAACTTTACTTTACCTAAAGAGATTGATGAACTTGATCTCTTTAATTCTTCCCTTTCCAATAATTCTTTTCAATAAAAACTTCTGCAAACCTCATAAATACAGCCGCTACCTCTAAAATAATGATGTTCTTCATGTCTCATGAGCCATTTTTAGAGGAGAATGATAGAAGTAGGCAGGCAGTTAAGCCTATTTCTGCGAAGGACCAATTATACGATAGCCAGACTCAATGTATAGAGCAGGCTTTGGCATCCTTCGCAACTGTGAGAACTGGGTATATGGCGAGCACCTCTGCAGAAGTTCTCCATTAGCCTTAGACCCCTCTCCACCAACTCCTACCAAGGCTACCAATACATGCTACAATCTCTTCCTTCAACACTACAATCTCCTTTTGCTACCACCAACACAACCTCTAGGCTCATTTATAAACTACTTAGACTCACTTAAATTCTCTTTGCCTTTCAAAATATCTATCAATAACACACTCACTGAAACACACATATATATTAATACTCTGAATACTCTTCTTCCTCATCATACTATACTTCCCAAATCTAACTTTACTATTTTTGCACATCTCCTGATCAAATCTAATGCATACCATAATACTTCTTTTTCTACTCTAACTTCAACCTCAATACACTCACAGCAACCACTACACAATAACCAAACTTCTATTTTACCTCTTTCTTAATTCAACCTACCAAACTATTCATGCTGAAAAATTTGCAAAGGATCTAAATATCATGCCTATTCGCCTTATACTTAATTACTTTATTAGCTACAACGCAATTAATACTAATTCTCTTCAAATCAAAAATGATAACAAACTTAATACACTTCTCTCTCAACAAATCTTCAACTTTATTA